AGCTAGAATTTTTTTAAACTTTCCTTTCTCCACAACAACGGCATTTTAAGAATGGCCAAAGCCAAACGTCGATTTTTGCATGGGACGAACCAAACTGGGTGGATTAAGTTTATGAAAAGTTCGACGTCTGTCTCAGTTAAGTTCGCCCGAATGACAGTTACGTTTGGATCGACCAACACTTTCTATCCGTCTGTTCTAGATGATGAAGTCTGATTGGTTTGATGCTTCATTATGCACCTATCAATGTAAATCCCGTGAGGGGGGAGTGCGGGCAAGGGGCGGGGATTTGATGCCTGAGACTATCCCCTTTGTCGGGCTTTTGATCGTGTGAAGCGACCACGGGGTCGGGACATTATACACTTAATGTCAGATCCCAAGGGAAACAGTTAGTTTTGTTTTCCCGAGAGTCCTGATGTTTCCCGAGACGAAGTCGAGGGAAACATCAGGACTCGAGGGAAAACAAAACTAACTGGTTTCCCGAGGGACCTGACATTAAGTATTTTGTTATTTTTCTAGACTTTCACTTCAATAGCAACAAAAGAATAACCGGAGCGAACCAAAACAGTCGACTCGGTGCTTATAACAACACAAATTTAATTCTCAAAACCACTGAGTGAATGATTTACAAACAAAAGTACTTTCCTCATATTATCTGCATCTTTTTCCTCCACTAGCTGCTGTTTTTCTTCTGGGAACTTCTGGGATAACTTTAAAAATCGTTGCTTTTTAGCTTGAGGCTTCGTTTTTGTGTTGTTGTGTTCATTCACGAAAAAGAAACTGGCTGGACCTGGCGGTGTTTTTCCCGCCTTCTGTCTCGCCACTTTCCACCATGCTTTGATCACGTGCTGCAATGTATCCCGAGCAGGATACATTGTTTAATGTATCACGATTGGGATACATTTGATTTTAGTCAAGGCCACGTGACCAAGAATCAACCAATGGCAGTCCCTGTTTAGTTGAGTGAAAGTCTAGGAATATAACAATTAACTTGGACCGACAGAAGCCTGGAATCAATTCAGAAGCGGTTACCAAGTCTGTCCCTCGAGGCTTTCTGAAAGTCACGCTGTTGGAGAAAGGTGTGAAGCTTTCATTTGTTTTAATCGCCATAATCCCATACTTTAAACTGTCATCTAAACAGATAATGTCTATTTTGTGAAAGTTTTTATCTTCAAGTTCCCATCTAACTGTAAAACTCGATTGAAATCGAATTCCACCATGAAAGTCAGAGGATTTTTTTCGGGTCACTGATCCGACCTGTTCCGACATGTTGAGCAGATGTTATAAAGCATTGAACACTTCATTAATATTATAATAGCACGGCCAATCTTTCTGGAGGGATTTTGTTGTTCAAAATAAGAGATGCTAGTGGAGAGAGTAAATACTTAATTACAGCGAGTAATTTAACGGAGCTTACGTTAACCTTTATTAAATAAATTTTATTTCTCTTTCTGAGCTTGGCTATGGTCCCTTGAAATTCAGCTGCAGGAGGGTTCGTTTACAATTGACAAAGTAAGTGGGTAGGAATAATCGCTATAAAGACTGAAAGAACGCAAATTTACTTTTTAAGCGACGTTCTTGTCGCCGTCGCGTCGTTGGATCTTAAAGTCCCTAATATCACAGCATGTGCGAGCGCTGTAGGCTCGGGCCAAAGGGGTCAACATTTCTCTTACTGGAGCGCGATCCATATAAACGGGGGCTTACTCTGAGTCGTTTGTTTCTTCATTTAGGGTAATACGACATTCCATTAGCCGACTACCCATAATCGACTCCTGGACATTCTCAAGGCAATTTTCTTTTCATAAACCGTACTGATCTAGGGCAACAAAGAAGCGCAGCTGAAAGGGATCATTTGATTAGGAATGGAAGTAGCCTACCCCCTGCGGGTTGTGGAGGAGGAGAGCTTGAATTGCCGTTGTAAGGGTGTGTAGATAGCGCTGCGTTGTCAATTTGTCTATAATAAGCCAGCTGATGATGGCTTGGAACAAGAGACCACAAAGGGTAAAACAAAATGAATAGAATAGAACAAGCTATTGAGGCTCCCTATAATGGCTTTTCACAGGCCTGCCTTCGATCTGCGTTTTCTTGCTACCGACTTTCTTGAAGTCACATTCGTCCATAATATTTGATTCGCGAATTGCCTGGAGCATTGCATGGAAATTCACTCAGCTGTCAATATCGATAGAATTGATGACATGCGATTGACTATCACTCAATCTTCTTGGGAACACTGGATATTGGAGAAGATCTAAAAATACTGTTTTAGCTAGGGATAGCAAAGGGGTTAGATTTACTCTCCGTCCCTTTATAGTCTCTTGCTCGGAAATATATAGTTCCCGCCGTAGGACCTGGGCCAGTATTAGGACCAATTGGTGCGAAACATGAAAAGTAGGCAAAAATAAATCGGCAATATTCCGCGAGTAAATGAATGGGAATAAAATGATTGAAGTTGACAAATTTAAATGTTATGGCAAAACAAAGCACCCACAACCTAATCTAATTAATTCTAATAACATGATTGATGCAAGGTACTCACATTGTCCTGCGCTTTCTCCTTGTCCAAAGCATTTGATGTTTTCAGGATTACTGTCTGATAATGAGAGAACATATGGCCATTCAGGGTCATTCAGTTTCCGACAGCAAGTTCAAATTCATCAAACAATTAAAAGCCAAGTAAATTATCAACAAAAAAAGCAAACAAACAAACAACAATGACAATGACAAAAAAAAATATGAAAAATACCTCCACTATTAATATTGCAGGAAAATAGATATCAGAAGTAATCAGATGAGCGGGGAGCTTTCTAAATAATTAAAACATTACATACAAAGAAATTAAGCAATATAAACTAGTAAGAGAATGCAACACCAATGTTCTTTTGTAGCGAGTGAAATGAGCCACTCATATCCACAACCAGATGGGGATCAAAATATTGCATATATAGAGAGAGTCAGACTAAGGGAGTGAAGAAAAGAAAGGCAGGGACCAATTCTAGGTGTCGGAGGAGTCCGTCTTATAGAGACGTCCGTTGAAAGAGAGTTGGCTGTATTTGCCAAAATTTAGTTAAAGCAGTAGGAATATTTCTTACTTGGATTGAAATCGGAGTAATGAATGTCTGTTGGGATGTTCTCATCGTTCTTAATGCCAGGAACTGTGCTTACTAATTGCTCCCCACTGATGCTCGTTAATCGGAATCTTTTTGGGAACTGCATCTCTCCCACTCCGTTAATGGAAAAGTAATTGTCACCTGTCTTCTCCACACAAACCCATTTGTTGTTGTGCTCGATGTCCATTCCCACCGTCACCACCCTTTAGAGCAAGGAAACATTAGGGCAGGAGCCCATATAGGCTCCTGATTAGGGCCATGAACAATGCAAATGGACTTGTTTGAAAATAATATGAACATAACACTGGCGGATCCAGGGGAGGGGCCCGGGGGGGTCGGCACCCCCTTCCTTATTTTTAGACCAAACTGAGGCCCAAAGGGACGAAAAAAATTTTTTTTGAGACCGTCCCCCCCTAATCTTAGGGTCTAAATGACCGCCCCCCCCCCCCTCTCCCCACCCTTATCTAAAGGTCTGGATCCGACACTGCATTAACTGCAAAGGACCACACACGAATATGCCTCAGGACGTGAACGATCTACAGGGTCGTGCATGAGATCTGATCAGCAAAAATATATACCGAGTGAACTTAAATTTGCAAAGTTGGTCGTACTATGTAAAAATTACCTTTTCAAACATGAACAGGAAGTTGAATTCAACCTTTATTTTCGCCCATTGAATCGTTGGTTATATCTTATATAGTACTATCAGTTTCAGCGAATCTTAGCAAGCTCTACTGACACGTCACTACACACAGATTGTAAGCCTTGGACTTGATGAGCTACTGAACGTGACTTTTAACATCCCTTTACAAGAGTGGAAGGAGGTACATAACCTAATTTTATTACCATTGTTGTAACTCCACAGCACGCTGCGCGCATTCGAGCTCCACATTAAGCGCGACCACGTTCCCACAACAGTTTCCTCAGAGACTGGAGGAGGTTTATCGCAGCACAATAACGACAATATCTGCTTGCTGAACTATACGAAATTAACTGGGCTTTTAGCATTACCCAAGAATTGGTGTATATGCCCATTAGGCGTGTACCACCTTTTCTAATCCCTTAGGTTTGCAATTTCGGATTCAGACCTTACGATAAGGGGGGTTAGGGGTTGGGGGGGGGGGGGCAGTCATCCAGACCCTTAGATAAGGGGGAGGGAGGTCTCCAAAAAAAATATTTTCGGCCCTGCAGTTTGATCTAAAAAAATAAAAGGTGGGGCATGCCCCCCGTACCCCTCCCCTGGATCAGCTACTGGGTTTGTGCTGAATTTTAAAAAGACTTACTGTAAGCAGTCACTTCATGTAGGGGACTGCAGCTGCGTTCCGGATTCTAAAGCTCAGGGGCCCGTTTCTAGAAAGTCCCTCACTTTACTGACCCGGAAAGCTGTTGTTGTTTGATTCAAGATCGAGGTTTCAATAGTTTTGCAGATAAACATGATAAAGCTATCAGTTAACAAAACAAAATGGACTGGTTTTTCAGCAAGAACCCGCGCTTTTATTCTTTAGATTTTGGTTTAGTATTTAATTTCGGGCCGAAAAGTTAACGGGCGCGATCTATTCAACCAAAATTTTGGTCCAAGACTCAATGGATTGGTTCCGTCCAACCGGAAAAGTTTGCAAAAAACTGGTCCACCTTTGAGGTGGACCACTTTTCCCTGTCGGACAGGTCGGAATTTTGGTTGAATGGATGGCGCCCACGGGGACATTCGAGAAACGGGCGTCAGGATCCGCAAATTTCACGGATTCCGGAATCCGCATTTGCTTACATGGGGCGAAAACAGGGGCATAGTTACCTGTTCGCACGGTACGCACGTACTTGCGTGAAAAATTGAGGGTAAAAATTCCAAAACATTGCAATGGATATTACACCTTAATGTCGGTTTCCTGAGAAGCGAGGCGTGATTCAATGGTGGACCGATATATTTAGAGAAAAGGCAGGAAAAAGTCGGTGCAGATAACGTTAAGCTCGATGAAGCATTAAAACGTGGTTGAGAATTGGGGGGAGGGTGGTTTAGTATTTAATTTCGGGCCGAAAAGTTAACGGGCGCGATCTATTCAACCAAAATTTTGGTCCAAGACTCAATGGATTGGTTCCGTCCAACCGGAAAAGTTTGCAAAAAACTGGTCCACCTTTGAGGTGGACCACTTTTCCCTGTCGGACAGGTCGGAATTTTGGTTGAATGGATGGCGCCCACGGGGACATTCGAGAAACGGGCGTCAGGATCCGCAAATTTCACGGATTCCGGAATCCGCATTTGCTTACATGGGGCGAAAACAGGGGCATAGTTACCTGTTCGCACGGTACGCACGTACTTACGTGAAAAATTGAGGGTAAAAATTCCAAAACATTGGAATGGATATTACACCTTAATGTCGGTTTCCTGAGAAGCGAGGCGTGATTCAATGGTGGACCGATATATTTAGAGAAAAGGCAGGAAAAAGTCGGTGCAGATAACGTTGAGCTCGATGAAGCATTAAAACGTGGTTGAGAATTGGGGGGAGGGTGGGATGGGGATGTGGAAGAGGACCGGGAAAATTGTGCGTACCCCTGGAAAAATTCTGGTTATGCCCCTGCCAACCGTTTGTGTGGCTCCCTCCGAACATTAAAATTATTGATTACGTGACTCACTTGGAATTTCGAGCCTGTAGTTTAATGGCCCAAGTATTGCTACCAGACAAACGGAATTGAATATTCCCCTCTTGACCAGGTACACTGGGGCATGAAACTGCTTTAAAGGAGGTCTTGTATTTTCCATAACCGCTAATATATAAATCAAAACCGGCTGGAAGAAAAGACAAGTTTATTTTATAGGGATATAAGTAGATCGTGCCCTACGAAGTAAAATTAAAGTAGTTTCGAAGCCTACGCCTTCCAGTTTTAGCCTTTGAAATAGTATATTCTAGAGCCAGAGACAACAAAACGAAATTTACTTAGCACAGTTTTTGGACATGCATTTGAGCATAATGTCAAGCTAACTCTTGAATTTGATGTAGGATAGCTCACTCTCGCCTCATTCTCTTCGAATGGGTGAATGAAATCGCTTATAGAATAGAATTTCGAAGTTTGTAATGATTGCTCCTTTGGATATTGCTGCATACAGGAGATAAACAAACCTTGATTGCAGCCTCCACATAGATCTACAATATAAGCCTTGTAGGTGCCTTTCATAGGCGTGGGCCCGCCAGTTTCAGGGCTCGTTTGCTCTCCGTTGGCTGTGATTACGATGCACGTGCCACACCCAACGGACTTTTGGTAGTCATATTGTCCAGCTGCCACCATGATCCATCTGGGCTGACTGTTCAGCGGTGATGGCGGATCTAAGGCGCATGCTCCGCCGCCAGGGTATATTCCATAGTACGTGCTCTTGGAAAACGTCAAAAGCATCGCTTAGCTTTATATCCACGTATATTTTAGACTTATGATTGCATATATATTCCTTTTTCGGTTTTATGAAAAACGAGATAAGCTTGCAAATGTTCCTGGCTTTCAGTGACACAGTTGCAGGACACTTGGCCCAGAAACGGAATTATGCAAGTACAGGAGAATGGTTATAAACGTATCGAGTCATGTCAAATCAATTTCAATTTTATCAATATCATCATCATCATCTTTTTTATCACCCCGGTCCTAAAATACGATAGAAAAAACTGACAAACAGACATTAATCCATTGTAAATGGTTACAAAGGGTTTTTTCTTACATCTCCTTGGGTGACCATTTTGTATCGATTCCATATTGCTTTTACGTTTTCCATCGTAACTGATTCAGTTTGTTAACAGTAGAAATCAGAGTAATGTAATTAGTTGCCACATGTAAGGTAACCCGGATTTCCCAATCCGAAAAATGTTCGTTTTGGAATCGGAAATGAGCGAAATCTTTGCTTGTGGAATCCGGAATCGTGGGCTTTGGAATCAGGAATACAACTCAATCAATCCAGGAACCCTCTAACGATTGGAAGTCTGAATTCCAGGTTCCGCTGACAAAGTGTGGAATCCATGACATGGAATCCAGAATCCAAGACTGTCGTCTTTTTCAAGAAAAAGGTTAAACGATCTTTTAGTGCCAAAATTGTGACTTGGTGTGTGTATAAAGGATTATTTGGTTATGTACAATTAAGATGTTTCACATATTAAGTTTACTGTTTTCCTTGGCTGTGGTTATGAACTCATGCATATGCATCCTTTGATGGCTAGATAGAGCCTCAAGCGTAAGACAAAGTAGGGTTTCGACGGATCTGTGCATCTTGGAACAATTCGCAGTCAAAATCGAGGGCGGGGGGGTTAAAACAGTAGTTGTTGCTAGAGGAACCACGCTACAAATAAAAAATATCGGAAGGAGAGGAGAGGGAAAAAAATCGAGGAGAGGAGGCTTTCCCCCACATTCCGAGGAAACGGGAAAGTGATTAACGACCGTGATTCACACACGTCTCGCTCCACGATTTTCTTTAGGGGAGCGGGCGGCTGTAGCTGTACACAGGCTAGGAAAAAAATTGCTGGATGGCAAGCTCCATCTATACATGATCATACTTAATTAACAATTATTCCACGAGTGCGCGTATGAGATGGTGGATAGCCAAAGAGGCTTATAGCGCCGCCATAGCCATAATCATCTCATATCCAACAAGCGCGACTTTATCTGTAAAAAGAACCGATTTTCAGCTTGTTAATTTTGAGCAGACGCGTACAGTTACCATATTTGGACACCACGGTATAATGGCTTATATACCATGATGGCTAAGCCAATCAGAGCTCTAGAACTACATTATCCAATGATTCAGTTTTTAATAAAGTATTTTATCCGTTAATTACAGTGTAAACCACCACAATTAAATCATACTGTTTGAAGAGTTCAAAACCTTTACAGTAGCAAACTCTCTAACTGATTTATCAAGCTCTTTCAATGTCTGGTATTTTAAGGTTAATCCTAGAATATCCCGTTTTTTGGGCATGAGATAGGTCATGAGACCCCTAGCTGCAAAAGGCCAGTGGCATTACCCAGTTATTACATGTTATTATGCCTTTGTCAGTATCTCTGAAAAAGACACTAATTATACGACTGATTTGCCAGACTGGGCAGGGATGTAATAATTCAGTATACGTCACTGTGGAAATACCCACAGTATGAAAGGTGAATTACTCCGCCAGAATCAATATCCAAGGAACATAGACGATATAAGGTAATGAGCCCTCGATACTTTCTGATTTAGCCGGCAAAACGCGCCGTTACTTTCTGTCATCTGGTTTCAGTAATAGGTTAGTGATTCATATTCTTTTCAGACACGCAACGTGAGAGCAAAGTAACCTTATAGTAAACAAACACCCCCGAACATTGGTACAGTCGGGCGAAAGTTACGGATACATAATCATTAAGTGAACACCCCAGCAACGTAAACCGTTAATGGGTGTCACTTAGCTAGTTGGTTAAAGTGTAAGTGTTAAGTATGAGTATACCGCCATCAGTCAGGGGCACCCAACGAGAATATAGTTCAAAACCACTTAAGCATAGCATTGTTGAATGTATTTTAGTATTTAAACGGTAGATATAGGCATATTTTTATCCCCTAAAAATTTTTCATCTGTTCGGATTTCCTAGCTGAAAGTCTAGTGATCCGAAAATTATAGGGATCAAAACTTACTTTTTCGAAAATTTTAGACAGAAAATAGGCTCCCAAAAATTCTAGGTGAACTTTTTAGGGTAAAAATTAGTTTAAAATGGGCAAGTATACCATTTTTTATTTGTTCGAAAATCCTAGCAGAGGCATGCAAGCAAGAAATTTTACAACAAATGTTCCGAAAATTCTAGATCTCAAATCGTCTTCCGAACAGATATTTTCCCGAAAATTGTCGTTGGGTGCCCCTGATCAGTTCTTGAAAGTTGTAAGGGAGCGCAAGGCATCTGTTATTTTACGCCATTCTGCGGCAACCCTTAGTTTATATCCCGGGTATATATTGACAACACTGGGTCGCACCGCGGTATAGCTCTTTGATAAGATCGTTTTAAAGCGATGTGTTTGCATCATGAAAGCAATAGTTTTTGACCCTCAAGGACAATAAACCGCTATCATTTGCGTACCTTCAAGTTAAGTCGACAATTTTATAGCAGGAAAACTGAAGCAGAGATCCAAGCTTCTTATGAATATTTTGTTGTTTAACTTCTAAAGGATTCACGTTGTTGCTTTATTATACTTTAATTTCATAATTAATTTAAGTTCGTTCAATAAATGCTTCAATGGGTGCATGACAGGAAATAAACAGTTGTCTTAATCAATTCTAAAGTTTCGGCTTTCATGAAAAATATTGAGGAACATCGTGTCATGATGATACTGCTGCCAGTTTACCTTATATTGTAATAGCCAAAGTTTGTAATTAAAAACTTGTATTAAAACAGTTTTGTTATCACTATTTTTCAACTTCTTGTCCGTCTCTAAACAGGAGTATTGATCATTAGAAATCACCTTGTCAGCTTTGAGCTTGTATCACCTACCAGCCAACTACTACAGTGTAGCTGGTCTTCCTATCTAATTTTCCCTTTCAGTGGAAACAGAGATGTCAAATAGCGTACAGACACTTAGCAGCAGCGGATGAGAAATGGAAAAGGGCACGAACGATCGCAATGAAGTGGTAAGGAGCCTGTTCCACTCCAAGCGTTCGGATAGGCGGGAAAAACAAAAGTTGGGAGAAAGGAGAGAACCATCACTCTCACCCCCTTACCAGCCTCGCTGTTTTTCCTGCTCACCTCTCTTTGTAGCCCTTGTAGCAGGCGCTTGGATTCTCTTTGTGGCGTCCGCCACTATCTGAACGGCTGGAATGGTGGAATGGGCCGAGCTAAGTGACACAGGCTACTCCTGGTAACTCGAACATTCCGCTAACCGGCGAAGCAATTTTCATTTCCATTCAGATCATTGTCTTTATAATTTTACCCTTGATAACTCGAACTTTTTTCTATCTCCCTTGAAGGTTCGAATTATCGGGAGTCAACTGTTGGTCATAGACGTTTACGAGCATGCGTGTTAGACATGAAGGTGAGTGATGAAAAGTAATGATAGCGCACAAAAAGTGGCGATAACAAAAGTGACGCCATTTTCGATGGAAGACTGGTCAACTTGGTTTACTTGGTAATAACCTATGAACAGTACGCGTGTGGGACCGTCAGTGATCCGATTCCCGCCGCACCACATATGATGACATCACTCATCTCACTTTGCTCTTTATATGACATCTGTAAGTATAAACAAATTTATCTTTCTGTCTAATCATAGCTGTAAACTCTTTCGCCATTTTTATATTTCAAACCTTCTCAAACAGCTAAGCTGCTACGGTGTTGTCATGAGTGACGTCATCCATGACGTTAATGTTAGAATTTATTCACCAGGCTCTCCAGTTGTTCAAAAGCTGGATAAATCTTTGTCCAGTGGATAACGCAATTGTTTTCTTTTACCCTTTTATCCGCTGGATAGTGCTATTTAACGTTTGAACAACCGGGGCCAGGCCCAGTTCGAATTCGTCGAGTTCGAATATCCCAGGGATGAATTTTAATCGGGGATGGGTTCTTTTTGTTCTGTTTAAAACCATTTTCTCGGATAATTTTCTCTATTCTTTTTAGGGCATCCAATCACCAAATTTCAGACTCAAAGAAACTGAATTTGTTTTTTCAGCTTTTATACGGCTGAATTAAAGAACCCTAGGTTATCTTAAAGTGGCGATAACTTAGCCCAGCTTTGAACAACCCCGCCCTAAACTGAGGCCCTGCCCGGGGGAGGGGGGGGGGGGGGGGGTCCGAAAATTCTTTGTCTTTGTCTGAATTTTAGAAAAGGGTAATAGCGATGCGTTGTAAAGAAACCATTACAGGAGTCTTACAGTTCTGAAATTTCTCAGTTAACATTTCGCGTATCGAACACCTATACATCGCCATTCACAATTAAGTGATCCACGTTTAATATTTTAAGACTAACTGACCTGATTAAATCGTGAAGGCACGGTGCTCTACCCCGTGAGAGCGGTTGGAAGGCCGGTGGTTAGGTGACCTGGTCCCTAGTCTCTCCACCGTCGTCACCGTCGTGTTGCTTACATTAAGCAAGAAACTTGAGTCTGGATCACATTGTCTCTCTTCACCCAAATGTAGAGTGGTTCGACGATCATAATGCTCGCCGGGGATTGAAAGCCTTGCGATATTCTTACATCCCGTTCATGGAGGTGTAGTATCTTCGAATGGAGGAAAGCGCCAGTCTAATTAGCCACTTCGCTCATAACATTTACCACTCCACCTTACAAATCAAGACGTAGTGGTATTCTCACGGTCTTCCTGACAAGGATGTCAGAAGTTTAGGGGCAAGCAAAACAAAGCGTGCATAAAATTAAGCTATTTGACGGACAACCTCGTTCCCAGGTCTCCGAGGAGTTGTGAGGGGTTGCGTAAATAGGGACCTTACGAAACTACCACGGCAACGGCGAGGAGCACGTCAAAAAAGCAATAAGTTTAATGAGCAAAACAACAATTCTGCACTTGCATCACGCTTTTTTGTACATTTCTTTGCTGTCCCTGCACAACTACTACTTGAACTGACCAAATTTTAAATTTACTTGAGAACGGAACGGCAAGCGATAAATTCAAGTATCTCTGTCTGAGCTCAGCACGGTCCCCTCTCTTCAGCTCGAACCAAAATTCCCTTCTTTTAAGTAACAGGGCGAATTGGGATAATCGAGAAAAAGTTTAAAAGGATGCGAAGTCTATTTTTCAACAACGTTTTCATGGACGTCGCCGTTGTCGGCTCGCGACGCGCGCTCCGGAGGGTCCTCCGAAGCTCACTGACAAGAGACGTTCTCTGAAGCGCAAGGAAAACTGACGAAAATTACTTCTTCTCGGCATTCAGACTGGTGATAAATTAGCCAAACCAACGTTCTTTGTCGCTTATTCTCGGCTTTGCCGTCATTGTGGCAGTTTGGCCAAGAGAAGTTGTCTCTCAGTCTTGTCGCGAATGTCGCTACTTTTCGGGTCATGTCGCTTGTCGGAATTTACCCTGGTAGGGTCTCTAAATTGGTCAGGGAAAGTGGACCAGAAAAAGGACAAAAGACGTTATTTTTATTTATTCATACATTTGTTATCCATTTTTTATTTGCCTTTGTGTAACCCACCAGGTGCCAAACTGCAAAATATCGATGCGCAGCATCGAAAAAATATCGATTATGCAATCATTCCGACGAAATATCGATTAGTCCAGTTTCGACCGTCGCGAACAACTTTCACTTCGATGGCGGAAATGGCGTCGGAGAATGCTCCTGTTCTAGAGGGGGAAAGAAAGCAATACTGAGGCGTAATATTCGGATTTCCCGAAGCTTTTTCAGTTTTGCTCGAGTACGTAAGTCTTCTTGATATTTTGTGAGTATTCCATACGGTAATAACATCAAGGATAAAAGGCAAATTCCATTCTGATCTTCGAGATCGTGACTAGACGTAGGCGTGCTAGAAATTGTGGTAAAAGCGTTTACATAACGTGATTTATCAACAGCTGAAGCCTTTATTCTGAACATTGCACTTTCAAAAGACCTTACATTGATAACTACTTAGTCTGTGAATTATGGATCGTTTGGAGGCAAACGCTGTGTGTATTGTTGCCACTTTGACCACGATGCTTATGGCTGGTACGATCCCCAATGTATCAGGTTAGTAAAAAGGCCGATAAACCCATCTCATACATAGTCGACCATAGTTTATTGTTTCTGTCGTCGACAAAATGATATGGTAACATTATTTACGAACAGTAAGAAACACATTTGTACCCACCTTCTCGTTTTCTACGAGGTTTTTTAAACCACTTTGCACAAAATTTTTCTTTGGGAAAATGTCTTCCTGCTTCTAGAAGTTAACTTTATATACGGCGATGTTTAGATAAATGTGTACATGTTAGACTTTGTGACAAAACAGGACGATGTTCCTTAGCATTACTACTTGTACATTGTACAGACCAGCGAGCTTTGTTTCTCAATTTGAGAACCTCAACAATTGTTAAGTGCAGTAGTTGTTATCTCTCAGTGTCTTGACTGTTAAGAGTACTCAACTTGTGATTATGGTCGTTGCAGTGGTAATTGCAATTTAAGCTATTGCAATTACCACTGCAACGATCATGATATATTAGCTGTGGTCACACTACAGACTTTTTACCTAGGTAAATTCGACTTGTTGACAGTTTACCTAAGGAAACTTGATTTTTAAAGTGTGGCCGATTTTTCCCCAGGTAACTTACCCCGGGGAAATTTTATTGTCTTGGTCTTGGATATGTCTCGAGAACAAAAGAGTTTCCCTTGACAGCTACCCAAAACGATAGCTAGGGAAAAATGAAATACCAAGGTTGCTGGCCAATAGACGTTCATCGGCGAAAGTCTTGATGACAGAACCAGACATAGCTCACGCTGTGAAAGAAATTTAGGGGGCATGAGTCGTCTACATCTTCGGCTTTCTTCACCTGGCACGTTGAGTTAGTGTAAGAAATAACAGTGAGATAAAAGAAAAAAATGTCTCTTTGATCAGCTAGATTCCAGTGCATCTTGCCTTCTTAACCCATTCGCTCCTGGAGATTTTGCCAAAAAAATGCGTTTTGAAGGTACTCGAGTAGTTCTCTGGCCACTGTCCTGCTATTAAGAGCTAACAGCTACCACAAACCGGTTTACAGGTCGTACACTTCACGGCCTTCTGATCCAGATGCAAAATATCAGCTTGCAAAGTTCAGGCATGCGCAGAAAGCAAAATTTGGAGATACTGTAGTTTTTGGGTTTAAAAGTGACACAGCAGTCTTGACTTTTACTTTTCGCTTTCTCTCCTCCCCTCTTTTTTCGCTTTTCTTGCCTCATTTTTTTTTCTCTTGCTGGGCATTTAGTAGGCTTCATTTTGGTAGGAATAGTTTTAGGAAAGCTTTTAGGATCTTAAGATTAGGTGAAAGGAAACGTAGGTGAGCAATGGAACAAGATTTTCATGGAGATTTTCAGGTCAATGTTACATGGTTTTTTGCCTCTTTCTGCGGTGTCCTTGACTGAATTGTGCTCATTCTGGTATGGTTTGAAAGATCTCTTCACTCTGCACAAGTTAGTGGACAAAGTTGTCCTTGACCGTTAAAACTGATGACATCACAAAGGGTAGAAAGGACATGGATCCGCACGGGCGGTTACAGGCGGTTCAGGGGCGAATGGGTTAAATTTATGCTCCAAAAAATTCAACTGGCATAAAATCCTTGAGAGCTGATATCAGTAGCGTGACCTTCCTAGAATTTTTCCCCTGAGTAAAACAAAACCCGAGATGAATTTATCTCGGGAGATTTTTGATGAATTTCCCCGGGTAAATCGCTTTTACGTAGGTGAAAGTCTGTAGTGTGACCACAGCTAATGTATCTTCATTGAGGCCATGGGTTCAAATGCCATTGAAGTCCTGACATTTTTCTCAGGTTAATTTGCAAATTGCTTAAAAGTGTAGTTATGAAAAATGTAAGAGCTGTTTGCCCAAAGCACTATAAAACATGTTGGAATTCAAGTTTTGTTTGAGCCCTGATAACTATAGGGTCCAGTTCCCAGGCCAAGTAGCGCTATCCCAGAGTTGAGTTTTTATCCAAGTTTTCTTTCTTTTGTTTAAAAGTATTTTCGTGGATGATCATGATTTGCTCTATTCTTGAACGCCCAGTCATCAAATCGAATCTGCATTTGACGCTTTCATATTATCTGAATTCAAATTTCACACCAACCCTGGGTTATCTTAACACAGCTTTGAACAACCTAGCCCAGTGGTGTAATTATTATTATCATTACAGGAGCTTTTCCTATCTTTTTTTACAATGCAGCTGATTGCACTGATCCTGGACATCCTAAAAATGGTTACGGGATTGTTACAAGGAAAAGCAGTGGGTTTCCCGTGGGAACTGTAATATCTTTTTCCTGCAATCCTAACTATACCCTGGTTGGTGCTAAAAAGATAATATGCGAGGTAAAAGACAACAAGTATTCTTGGAATGGGAAAGTGCCTTCTTGTAAGTGGCTCTCTGGAGGTATGTAATAACAACTTCCTTCATTTTTGTGTTTACAGTTGCTACAGGAACTGCTACGCTAAGCTGTCATGTGGTGAAGGCCAGGTTAAAAAAAACTGTACTGTGTGATTCAGTTTGCGAACAAGGAGAATCTCTTACGCTCTAGTCATTGCTTGTCATTTTATCAGTTTTTTTCTATTCAAAAGAAATTTTGCTAAAAAGAGGTGATTGTGGTTTCTAGCATGCTACATAACATGAAGGTGAAATATGACCTGTTGCATGGAAAAATTGATTTTCCTTGAATGCAAGTAGTCATACTTCATTTTCTCTTTGATGCTTGTCACTGGCATGCTCTAATTATGACATGAAGGTGAAGCATAACTTAATGCATTAGATAAATAAAATGTAAGCATAACCTTTTTGCATACAATGAAGCCAATAAATAAATAAAAAATACTTGGGAGGAAAATGTGAGAGATCCACTTCCCCTACCCTTTTTCCTACCCTTCCCCCTCTTTTATCACTCTGCCCTTCATTTACATACATTATGTACGTCCTTTTATGTCCTTACTAGTCTTTTTTCATCCTTGCTAGTCCTTTTATGTCCTTATTAGTCCTTTAATGTCCTTAATAGTCCTTTTGTCCCAACTGGTCCTTTTCAATGCGTACTAGTCTTTTTATGTCCTCACTAGTCCTTTAATATCCTTACAAGTGCTTTAGTGTCCATGTTACAGGTTAAAATTAAATTCATGTTAAAATTTTTAACCTCATTGAGTTGATTCTCAATTTCCTTTGTTTTCTAGCCGTAACTCATGAATTGTTGGGGTTGGGAGACAAAAGAAATTGAGAATCAATTCCAGGTTAAAAAAATTTAAACCTGAATTTAATTTTCAGTGTCCCAGCCAGAGTGTGCCATTGTGTGAATCCTGCAAAAGATCAAGAGATGGCCGCCACCAAAAGCGTTCAAGAGCCATTATGGCCCGTTCCTTCTTTAATTCCGTGGGCTTAAAAATGTCTCTGTTACTTAAACTACAATAATTTTCCAATTTAAACAGAATTTTTAATCTAAAGAACAATGACTCCATACCTTTGTACACAACATGAAAATCAATCGATGAATCTTCTTGAGTTTATCTGATTTACAGTGAGTGGTCTGGAGACCACTGAGCCTTGACTTAGCTTGTGTAATATCGCAGGAGCTCTTTAGGAGCTCAGGCTAGCATGATGTTCTTGCCCGAAAAAGGATAAACCTGACAAACGCATCTTTGAGGTCTATCAAAAGTTTTTTCTCAGTAAGTAACGAAAAAGTGGATAGAGGTGAAGCAGTTCAGAAGAAGTGAAATTAAGCAGATCTTGACAGTGAAGTGGAAAATGAGATGAAAAAAATACTTACTATTTTTATTGCATACATTCTGATTGTACTGTTTACTTTATTACCGAAGATTTCCTCTATTGTGTATAAAAAGGGATGCTCCATGTCAGCTACAAATAAACTGCTATTTTCATTTCCTTAACTTTCCAACTGTTTCTTCTCTTTTCATATTAGACAGATACTGGTGAATTGGCCCTTTCTTGAAAAATCTGGCCCGAAAAAATGGGTTGTAGAGGCCACTTTGGCCCTCAAGCAGAATTTTCTGGGTGGAACACTGATTTTAACCTGTAACATCTACACTGTACCTTTTATGTCTACTGTAAGTCAGGAAGGGTGGAAAGCAAAAGTTTTGATTATAGAAACTGTTACATGTACAGTTCATTTTACAATACCTGTGAGGAAGAATTGAGGGAGAGGGGAGAGATCCACTTCCCCTACCCTTCCGCTACCCGTCACTCTCTTTTATCTACCCTGCTTGTCATTTATATATACAGTTATTTTGAGAAACATTGTTGGAAAAAATGCACACAGCAACCCTGAAAGGTATTTTGGGTGGTTCTTAGTTCATGGTTCTTCAAAAAAAGTTTGAAAGGATGGCATGAGAGGCCATGGGTGTATGTTTGCGAGTGCTAAAGCAATTAACCCTTAAGCCCCAATATCAACATACAAATTCTCCAAACTGATCTCTATACATTTCCTTAAAGACTGAGTTAAGAGAATTTGTTAAAAGATCAAGGCATTTTTACTTAGGTGATCATTTTATTAATTCTCATAACTTATCTGTTGACAGTGTATGGATATTGTTTGGAGAAATTTGATCTTGGTCACTATTGGGACTTAAAGGGCTAAGCAATGAAAGTACTGTTGTAGGTGTGACAAGTACACACTGTACCTTAATACCTAAGACTGGAAGGGCAGAAAGGAGGATTCTTGATAGGTGAAGCAGTTGCGTGTACAGTTTATTTCACTAAAATGCCCCTTTGAAATTACCCATGTCTCTCTTTCAGCTGGTAAAATTCTTTGGACAGAATTCTATATCTGCAGAGTACAGTTTCATGTTAATTCCAACGTACATTCAAAGTTATGTCTCAAATTCTTTGATTGTGTTCTCTATCATTGTTTAGATTGCCCATTTCCACCGCCAAACGTCCCTCATGCCAACATAGATAAAACAAAGCAAGTGGGTTATAAAAAAGGAGGCAAAGCATATTATCGTTGTGTTGATGGCTATACTTCTGAACAAGCTGAACCTTACAAGCTATGTGACAAAGACCCTATGACTCAAGGATTTATTTGGAGTGGTAACTTTACATGTAAAAGTAAGTAAGAATGAGGTTAGTTAATGGTACAATTTTTAAAATAAAAATTATTTATTCAGAAGAAACAAGATGAAAAATGCTGATTTTCAAAAAATCAGCATGTCAGCACAAAGATTGGGAGTTACGGAAGAGACATCTGTACATGTATTACGCAATGTCTGGCTCTGATGACTTCATGCAAATGCTTCTAATCCTTCTAAATTTGACTTGGATGATAACTTAAGAAGGACATCTCTTTACTCTTATACCCTGTAGTTGACTCTCTGTTTTCACAGACACCTCTATAAGAAGGACAACTCTATAAAACAGACACCCAGAGTTGGCCCCTGCCTTTCGTACCCCTTTGTTTTCCTCTCTATAAGACAAACATCTCTCTAAGCCAGGCACTACATGTACGTCTTAGTGCCATTCCTAGAGGTGTCAGTCTTAGAGAGAGTTGACGGACTGTACATTTGTACACCTGCATACGATACCACTCTCTTAAGGAGTAGGGGTTCTGTCCCACCTATAATGCATTTTGATAAGCATGTAGACCAAATTAACCTTAAAAAAAATTTATTTTCTTCAGTTGAGGTTTTAGTCTGTACTAGACTAGAGTGGTCTATACAGAGGCATCTAACGATTATAAACTGTATAGCTAAATGTACACTGTAGTTACAGGCAGTCCACACAATTCACATCGATAGGTCCAAATTGATCAAAGTATATCAACGCTGAATAAATGACAAAATCAGAGATTTGTGACAAACAAATAATTATGTCTCCTGAGCATTATTTTTGAAGTTGCAAGCAACAGGGATCAACTTTGAAAAACTGTTAGGCTGAACAGTTTTCAAAAACCCTAGTTTCAATCCGTTTCAATCTTCTTCAGTTTTGCCCATCCATGGTGTCTGTTGTTTCTGTTATGTTATTCCTTCAAATTTTTAAGTGGTTATTTTTATGTTCCTCTTAATTTAATGGGCATTTGTAATTTCCTAATTTGGCTGAATTTCGTGACACAGCTCCTTTAAAAGCCCAACATTCTGAAGGCAGCTTGTAGCTGTTAATAATAATATTTAAACATGGCTAAGGAGAAATGATTTACAGTTGCATTTAAATACATATAATTATACATGTTTGTAGCTAGAGTGATTAAACAGCATAACTTCTCAACACTCAAGTTGCATGTCTACCTTGCCGATCACTTGGAAATTGTACCTCGACAACCATACAATGTATGTTCTTAGATTTCCAGTCAAGGTGCATACCAACATCATGGTTGACAAATTTCTCCTCAATTTTGCGACATTATTTTTCAGCGTTGATTTATGATTCGTATGTGATATTACAAAATAATTATGGCATCATGGAATAACATTTACATCTCTGTGCCAGGTTAGTTTGGTGATAAAAATGCTCTAAAAAACCCAAACACACGAAAAAGCACATCAAGAAGGACTCTATAAGGGATTTAGTCGAAGTAGTATTTCAAAAATTTTGAAATTTAAATAAAATTTAAGCTCTAACTTTTTAATGTGTGGAGTTCTTGACTGATACATCAAACATGGCATAAACCCACAACTGTGAGGGTATTGTCGACCATGATATTGGTAGGTAATCAAAATTATTGGTATACTTGCATAATTTCTTGAGTCAGGGAAATTATTAGAATTGGACAAAACACGAGTGAAATTGTTTGCTTATTGGACGTAAATGTACAGTGTATTCTGTTACACTTTACATGTACATGTATGCACATACTACAGTGGTTATGCAATGCTTTTGAGTGGTACACCGTGAAATATCCCACAAGTGACATAATTTTTCTAAGTATACACACGACCCTTTAGATGATTGAAAAAAGAAGACCAACTTGCAACTTACATTGTACTTTTGAGTAGTAAGCTGTAAATTAATCTTATTGTTGCTTCTTTCAAATAGAAAAAACTTGTGGCAATCCCCCTGCCCAAAGCTTAGGAGATGGAAATTACAGATTGTCTGAACTTGGCTCCAGTACTGTTGCCACATACCGCTGTTCCCCCACCTTCATCCTCAAGGTTAAGCTGCCTTTAATACCTGCCATCCTCGTGGACAATTATAACATATCCTGTAATCAGACTGGTTGGTCACGCGTTACACTTACTTGTGGTGAGTTCATGTAAATACATAATAATATTGTAAACATAAGTACTACATTGGTTATCTTATATTATCAGTTCACTTGCATTTTTTACATTGTACACTGTAATATTATTGATATCAACTCACAATGAGATATTAGTGCATAACAAATTTTATTGCTCACTTTAGCAAAATGTAGACCCTCCAAGATCTTACACCAAACAGTATAAACATGTAAAGTGACTCTTTCTTCACCTACACTAAGCCTTGAAAACAGTGGACTGACATGAATATTATCAACATTGAATACAATGAAATCTCAAAAAAATTTTTGCATAATCTGTATAAAATAATGAACTAAATAATGCTTAGTTTGGTCTGCAAAGCCTCTGAAAGGTCATGTGACCCTTTGGGATTCTACGGTTACAATAATGTGTAAAAAGATCATTATAAAAGTATAATTATGCTATGACTTACACTGTACAATATTGTGTAGCCTGTGCCAGGCTCTTGGTCAGTGCAGATGAGCGAAAACAGCAAGTGAGCTGTGAAAGAGTGAATGAGTGAGAAACTGCAGGAAGAGAGAAGGATAGAGCCTGTAATCATCTTTTCAAATACATGTACATGTACCTCAATCCACGCACTACCCCGCCCACTTTCTGAAAAACCATTTCCCATGTCAATGATATGTCACGTGTCACAATTTCAAAAGGTGCAGTGTAGGAGGGTTCGACGGTCATGCTGTACAGATGTACAGGTTCGTTAGATTCTGTGCACTCAAAGTCAAATGTTTGACATAAGTGTTAAAGTATACTGTCACAATTGACCAATCATAGGGTATACCAGGAACTGGTATACCAGAATGAGGTAATGAAAGCAATGCTAACAGGCTCAACTACTCCATCTTTTTCCAGCCCCCACATGGTTTTCGTGCAACTTCCTCACTATCTAGGGGACTGGGACAGGCTAATTATGTTACTTCCTCTTAATAGTACTGGAAAAATAGAACACCTACTATGTAGTCAGGTCAAATGTACTGTACTTATTCAGTAAAGAACAGCTGGCTATTAGTGACAGTAAAAAAGCCATTGTATCATTATTTATTTATTAATTGGCACATTTGATCCCTTTACAGTTAAAACCTGCAGATCTCTTTCTAGACCTAAGCATGGTCGTATTAGTTCAATCCAACCAAGCTATGACGTGGCTGGTCGGCCCAGTACTGTTGTTTATACAGAAAATGTGAAAGTCAAATTTGCCTGTGATATGTACTACAGACTTGTGTTAAGTTCATCAATGACTTGTTTGCAATCAGGCTATTGGAGTAACATTGAACCTCGTTGTGGTAAGTACATTATTTATATCTTTGTGTTTTAGATGAAACGTGTATATGTTTCATTTATTAAAAACTGAATCATTGGATAATGGCATGCTAGAGCTCTGATTGGCTTAGCCATCATGGTGTTATTGGTATATGAACCATTATACCATGCTCTCCAAATAATTATGGTAACCGTACACGTCTGCTCAATATTAAAAACAAGCTGAAAATGGGCTGTTTGTACAAATAAAGTCGGAATGAATTCTCGATATTTTGTGGGCGTTTTTAATAAAACAATTAGTCCACTCGCGCTTTTTGGATATGAGATGATTGTAGCCAACTCGACGCTACGCGCCTCGTTGGCTATTTAGCATCTCATATCCAACACGCCTCGTGGAATAATTGTTAAGTATACATGTACTTTAATTGAGTAACTCAGTTTGCGTTAGAAAGAGAGAGTTACCTGTATTTTGCATCTGGTACGTCCTTGCCATATAAACGAACATAAAAAGCAGGTAGAAAAAGGGTTCTATCGCGGAAAAAACAAGGTCACTTTTACGACAGATTAACTTGAACTTAAAAAAGAACGCGCTATTGCGTTCGTGATCCATGAAAACTTTCAAGGATCACGAACGCAATCTTAGAGCCAAAGATTAGTCATGTTACGGACAGAAGTGTGTCAGTTATTGACTGTTACAGCAGATCTTTATCATGCCAAGCGGCCAGATAATCTGAGAATCGTTTGACGTCACAAATTAAGTATTTGTCTTCTTACTTGTACACGAGTATACACTTTTTGTTTGCATTTGGAGCAGGCATTTGAGACTGTACTTGAGGAAATGAAGCTTGATACAGATTTCCCTTGAAGAAACATTGGCTTGCACATTGGTTAATCTGTCGTTATTGTAAACAGAAGTTCTATTCAGGACTACGCTCACTCGGACGATCGTACTCCAGCACAGGGTAACCACACAATCCGTGTGTGTAACCGATTGTTATTTAAAATAGTAAATGTACTAGATTTACCGTTTGCTTCACCTATAACGATATACTACACGGCGAACTTAAAATCCTTCCAAATTGCTCAAAAAACCGCTTTTAAGGCGAAAGGACGACAATATACCAAAAGGTGAGGTAATTCAACGTTTATTTAACATTGATTTATAGACATAGCTAGTGATATATCGCTATAGGTGAAGCAAACGGTAAATCCAGTACATTTACTTTTTAAGTAACAATCTGTTACACACGCAGATTGTGTAGGTGCCCTGTGGCTCCACCAACTTATGAAATGACTCCTAGGTCCAAACCTTGCACAGTTTAAAGTTCTTTTAGTGACCTGGAAAATGCCTGTTCTGTAGGCTAGGGTTGAAGGCTCAAACTACAGTGTTAAGACAGCACTGAGGTCTATGATCCTGAAAGGTAGCTTTTCTCTCACTACTTTTTTCAGGGCATCCAACGACTGTTTTCTGTGAAACATCTCTTCGGAAAAGCAAATATTGCCTAAAATCTTCTGTTGGTTGAGGACGGCTAAAACTTTCTAGAAGACCGTTCCATTTATGTATAATGTTCGAAGCTTATCTTGTAAATTCCGTACGATTTTCTGAAGTTAAGTCTTTCACAATTCACTCTTCATGTTGGGCTATTTTCTTAGCAAAAGGATACCCAAAATTTTCGAATTTTAGAATGTGATGGAAAGAGGAATTAGAAAAATGCTCATATTCGTAAAACGTTGAATTTCATTTAAAATTTTCAGGAAAATAATAATGAAACCCTTGTAATTTCGAAAAGACTCAAGTTCCATTAGGATGACTGAACGGATACAAATAATTGTGGCGCCGCTTATAATGCGAGATCTAAAAGTAATCTGGATAGCCTAAAAAGTGTTTTCAAGGTATTTAGGAGGAAACCGACGTTGGGTGCTCCTGTTTTGTAGTTAACATTTTCTTTTTGCACAGATATCTCGAGAGATTCGAACGGATATCCATTCCGTTTGAACAGCTAGCTGTTGAACGGCATACAAACGGCTGTACATTTCAAAACGGCAAACCGTTAGGAGACAGTGTTGGAATGAGAGGTCATATATCTTTTGAAAACTGTTTTTCGTGTGAAGATTTGACTATTGAAACTTTCCGTCTCTAACAGTACCATCAGCCTGTGGAAACCCTGGCAACATATCAAATGGTCATGGAACGTTTAATAGCACATCCTCTTCGAATGGTCACCCAATATGGACAACTGTGACTTACTCCTGCATTAGTGGATACCAGCTTATAGGAGTCAAGACTCGGCAGTGTCGTCCAAACGGCCAGTGGAGTGGGATAGGAAGTCCAGTATGCAGAGGTAACATACCTAATTCTCATTGCATCAGTCTTATTATGTCCTCTTATGATATTATGACAGAAGGGAAAAGTGAAAAAGGGATTTTTCGGCCTTTGTCATTGGTACATGTTCACATGAATCGCGTAGCAAGAGAGGGTCGCAGCGCTTGAAAAAAGTCCTGTGCGTTAGAGCGATTTTTGTATGACCTTGAAAAATGTTTTCGGTAAGTGTTCGTTATTTGTTTTATCAGCCAATGGATGAAAAGATCAAAACATGGACTCTTCGTTTTCCCGCCAAAAAATACGCTAATATGGAGAAGGCATTGTTCGATTGGCCAATCGTGTTGCAGTATGACGCCATAGCAAAGTATCGATTGGTTTCTAGAAAGTTCTCGGGCATGAAGTTTTTTCACCCAAGCGTTCGCTTAACCAGCCAAAAGCCACGCGTTTGTATCCGTTCGACTAACCAATCATGTCGCTCTATTCCGTATTTTGTTGTTGTTGTTGTTGTTTCTGTTTCGTTCGCGCGTTTTCATTTCAAGGTCATACGAAAATTCGCTCTAGTTGAGAACGAGTAACATCTCTTGCTCGGCAAGTATCCTCCACCTCTCATGGCTCAAGGCTCCAGTCAAGTCACCCTCCAATCTGGGCAAGCAATAATGAAGACCTTTAGATTCTAAGACGAGTACGACTAAGAGTACGAGATTTTCTCAGTACTAAGTTGTGCTCGCGCGTGAACCAGCGCCATTTTGGCGGGAAAACGTGATAGCCGTCGTCATTCTACTACCAGTTTTAGCGCGAATGTCTTGGTGGCGGGAACAAGTTTTCAAATGTTAGATTTTTTATCATTTTGCGATCGGGAAAGCACGTAACCTCCTTCACTAAAGATAACAGTGCTAACTTTTCAACTATATGACGAAAAATGACCCCTTTGCCCGAGCCAACAGTGCTCGCGTTCTCTCCGACCTTGGGGTGGTAACTTACTTTTGTGTGGTACAGTACATGTACAAGAAGTTGTCAAATCAAATATTAAGCAATGATAAAAATGATCATGATGATGATGATGTTCCTGATGATGGTATTCTTTTCTTGGCAGAGTCGTATGTAACTTGCGGATCGCCAAGAAAGATCCCTCACGGCCAATACAAACATGTCAAGCTAACCTATAAAGTGAATGTCCGCGTTGATTTCTTTTGTGAGCCAGAATATTTTCGTTGGGGTGCAGCTTCTTTTCGGTGTACCGCTATACCAGGTACCCTAAAAGGCTACTGGCGGGAGGTGTGTGACGATCAGTTTTCCGATTATTCATGCCGCGTTGGAGGAAGCACTCAATGTCTCCCACCTACTAAATATGGAGAGAAATGTGAGGAAAGCGGTGGTCACGTACCAGGAAATGGCGGAACCGTCTGTGTTAAAGGTAGGTACAGTAACTTTACCCTTGTTGTGAGGTTGTGCCCAGGCGGCGGGGGAGTGTTGGAGATGATCAAAAGGGGGCAAAAATCTTCACCCCTCCCCTTCAAATAAAATCTTTAGGGTTTTTAACAGCTGAAATTCCTAATTTCGAAATTTTCTATCAGAATTTTAAATATATTACACACAAGAACATGGAAACTGGACGTTTGTAGATACTCATACACCGTATCTTTTCCTCATCTTGTAGTTTAGAACAACGCGGGCGGCACGTGCGTGCTGATGCCGCTGATGCCGTACTACGCCAATCCAAATTGTCTCACCCAAGAAAATCCCGGTTCGGATAAATTCAAGCCCCAAAAATCATTTGGTGATCCCTCCGTTTACTCGGAGTATCCTGCCCTGGAAGGTCGTGCTTGAGCTTAAGACGGTGATTTGGGAGTCGAAAAACGAATAAGCGGAAACCATATTAAATGGACACGAGGACCAGGAGGCCAAATTTTTACCTCCTATAGTGGCCATTTTATCTTTTGTATCTTATGGTGTGAACATGCATTCAAATGAAACCTCTTTAGGATTACTTTTACTTGGTGATGAAAGAAGAATCTTTGGTTACTTTTAGCGTAGACTCTTTTTTTTTGTTTTTGTTTGTCTCACTCAGATCGGCGTTCCATTTTATACTTTATACCACTGCATGAGAAATTTCTGCAATTTGATTGGCTTAGAGCAGTGGTATTTCAGCTTAATTTGAAATACCTACATGTGAAAATTACAAACCCCTTGTGGGTAGTAGTATAAACAAATAATAGCATGATTTGTACGTGATATATGGCATAAATACCACCCGGGATATTTCAAAATTGTCTCAAATTTCACTCACCTAACGGCTCGTGAAATTACGTATAACAATTTTGAAATATCACTTATGGTATTTATGCCAAATATCACTACAAATCACCTTATTACCTATACTAATTGTAAACGAACTTTATATCCATTAAGCAATCAAAAAATTCAAATCTCACCTTGAAATGGTTTATTCCAAAATAAGAGACGTCTGCGCGGTTTTGTTTTTCAGCATTTTACAAAATAAAATTTAGCCACTTTGAACGTGAAAGGATTAACGCGACTTTCGCTGTGTTAACAACTATCGTCATTTTTATATTTCAGGAACATCTGGCTCGACTACGACTGACAATTTAGTCTCTATCAAATCTGGTGATAATGAACTGGATAAAATGACGATTGTTGTTGCGACCGCTGGTTCCACTCTCGGTGCTTTAGTAGTGTTGTTGACAGCTTTAGTTTGTTTTCGGCGCTTTCACCGGAGTCGGCGTTTCCGACACTCGGCGTTTAGAAGCCGACGTTATAGCGACGACGACCGAATTGCGATAATTGCTGCATACACCGGAGACGTGCACTTCATTCTGCCGTCCTACGACGAAGCCATGAGCCAAGTGCAAAGCTCACCGCCATCTTTTGAATCTGTTGTAGAGAATAGACAAGAAGGGGGAAATCAAATTGCGTCGAACGCTAACAGCCAGTCTGTAGATACTAACGAAAGAAATATCGCTGCTAACGGAACAGACGGCGCTTCCGAGGTCAGCCGTCCCGCAGCGAGTGTTCCCGAAGGAGGCCCGAGCACAGGCGAAGAACGACTGATAAACATCGTGAACAATCCGTTAGCTGATAGTTCACGTGAAAGTAGTGAAACTACAAGTATTAATCACTCTGATAATGTTTTGCTCCCGGTTGAGGATCGTATAGCTGATAACGACTCTTCGCCTAATCTTTGTTCGGAGAACCTCCCGAGCAGTTCGTCGGAGGACGATCTTACCTCCAGCCAGACACAGCCGTTGCTTGGCAACAGGGCGAGAGGTGTCATGGTGTAACGGACCTTATTTAACCATAGGCGACGACTACCCTACACTTCACAGCACAATAGGCGATTCATTCATCAATCTCATGAAGCACTTCTAACGAAAAAGCTAATAAGCAGAAGTTACGCGCAGATAAACGTTTAAAATTGAGGCAGTATCCATTAGTAAATTGCGTGGTTGTAGATTTACTGCTGCTGATCACCTTTCAGTACTATCGACTCCCACACTTGGTCTCGTTAAATGGCCAAACTAATGCCGGTTTTTAAAATCACGGAGTAGTAACATAGAACCACCACAGCATGAGACCTAGTAGTATCGATATTGGTTTCTATCCGTAGTATCGACCCAGACTTCCTCGGACATCCGGAAAGCAAGAGAAGCAATAGGCCATTTGCACGATGGCGTCACTTTACTTTTCTATTACGACCAGAATCCTCTCTATAACAAAAGCCTGAAGGATTCTGGTCGTAATAGTAAAATTATGTATTTCTGTAAATGACCAATTATAAACCACAGATGTTTGTCTGAATAGACCGATTTCGAGTCGCCCCAAGCCTCTGTTTCAAAGCGAGGCTAAATGATGAGAAGCCATTCTCATGCAAATATAGCTCATTTTCACTAGAACGGTTTTGCACATAGCCTCGTTTGGATTCCCGCCATAGTACGAATTCTACCATACAGCAAGTATATTAAGATAACTTCACAACGTTATTTTTTGATTTCTTATTAAATTTTCCTCATGTCGTACACAAACTATTATTTTCAAACTCGCCTTTACAACGCGATATATTTTTGTTGTTGTTTAATAACGGAGGTTTGTGTATAAAAAAAATGAAGTATTTACGTGCGTTCCAATTGGTAAAAAACATTGCTTATAATGCCAGTGAACTGAGGCCCAGTTCAAACGTCCAACTTCTCATGTACCAAACCTAATCCCTTCATTTAAAGTCCGAAGTATCTAATTTGAGTCGACCAATGAATTAATTTCGAGTGGCCCACATGGGAATTTCGACCGTGGAGCGACCTTGTTTCTGAAACGTCGAACTTTTCATGTGCCGAAGCTAACGCATAAATGACAATATTTTCTTTTCACTGCTAAACATTGTAGACCATTTTTTTACAGCGTAAGAATGAATTGAGTTCGACGAATTTAATTCAACGTCTGAATCGACCGTCGAACTTACATCCTTTGGGTCGATCCAAGTAGCTGTTGAGTTCGGTACATAAAAAGTTCGACGTCTGAACTGGGCGTCAGGCAACTTCACCAAAAGAAGTGTAGGCGTATTTTATTATAACAAATGAGGTTAAGCGCTACGTTCACGGCAAACTGCAAAGATTACTTTACCATGAGCTTTCCCTGCCACTTCTTATGTTTGCCTTCTTCAATATGTAAAGTTGGTCTTCACCTCCGTGTAAAACTCAATAAAATTTAAACGAAATTTTAATGACAGAGTCAACTGTGTTTAACGTAAAATCCAGATTCCGGAATCTGGGAATTTTTTGCTGGTGGAATCCGGAATCCACGTAGCCTCCCACGCAGACGTTCTTAGGGGTTGTCACGCGTTCCTCCCTAAGAACGTCTACGTGGGAGGCTAGAATTCACAGTGTGGAATGTAGAATCCAAGACTGTCATGGATTACCTTTTGATGGGGTCGAGAAGGTGAACTCTCACTCGCTGGATGAAGCTCTAAGGAGTTGTTAACTACGGGATATATGCTAAAACGCGGTTATCAATGGCGAAATAAAGCATCGCGTTTACGGCGAAGGTGAATTTGTACCACTTGACCAAGTTTCCCTGTTGTTCATTATAACTACACGAAAATCGGTAGATTCACGCCAATTTTATCCATAAGAATTGTTTTAAGCTGTTTTTATCTGCTCATTTCGAACTTGAGTTTTCCGTAAACGTGATGCTTAATCTCCCTATTGATGGCAAACGGGAAAAAGCTGTTCGTAGCAAGAACGTTTTGCTTCACCGTTCCATCAGTAACTAACAGAATTTTTATCGGTTTAACGGCGTAGTAAGGGGGTTGTTAGTAAAATCAACCAAATATGCAACCCCCAGGGTCTTCTCGCTTTCCAATACGCCGCCGCCGCATTGAAAAGCGAGAAGACCCTGGGGAAGAGGTTGCCGAATACGTCGTCATGATTAAACTTGCATCTGGCTGGTAAAATAAATGCTTCCTTTTTTACCCTTTCTGTTTTTCTGGACGACAGGCAATCTAAACGAGTTTTGCATGGATTTAGTTTTTGATAATACGGAAAGAAAAGTCTGTCGAAAAAGAAGAAAGAATATTAAATTGCAATTCGAAAGTTCTGAGCGTCATTGAAACAGTAAATTATAATTATTTTTCTTTTCTTTTCTTTCACACTAACAAAAGTACTAACTTTCAACGGTCATATGTCGCACATATGACTTCATTCACAGCAAAGCCTTAACGGATTTAGCTATACACGGTGCAAATTTACTTCTAATGATTTTCATTTTCGTTAAACTTGGTTTGACTAGACGTTGGTGCTAATCCCGGACCACAGACAAACGCGTTGGCACCTAAATTATGGAGGGTAAACAAGCCACGGAAAAACCAAAACTCCATGCAAGGACGACCAGAAAATTCAGTGAAAATCTTATTCCACTGCCCACCCAAACGTCCTTCCAGATAAGATCGTTTGACCTTTGGAGTGTTCGCGAAAATCTTCCCACCGAACTGAGAGCTAAAGCGTAGTAAATGTCCAGCAAAAGCTAAAACAAAGAAGATTAGGGCGAAAATAGATAGAAGGGAAAGCTAAAGGAAAAACGTCTTAGGAGACAGCGAACAATATTTTTTTCGTAAAGTATCGTGAAATTTGGTCCCATGCACAGGCTTGAACTTCTAAAGCTTTAATTATTTAAGATTGTGAAAAACAGGTGGTGAAGTTTGTTTAACTTGCAAACAACGGTTTGAATAGTCTCGGTTCTTTCACCAGAAAAATTTCCAGGGGCGAATGACAAGGTATACCAAGAATTTAGACTTAGCCCCCAGACAAAATGTTGAGCAACTCCTTTCATTGGAGTGAAAAAAAAGGAATATTTCACATTATGCCAAATAATATATGTTGTTCTTTGCAACGTTTCTTAGCCATCGCATTGAAATTGCCAGACACATTTGCATGGATGGGTTTTTATTCCCTTTTATCAAGCTGAGACATAAGTGATATAATCAGTGGAAGCTAGTTATAATTGTAGATCTAATTTCTTTCTAATGTTTAGATACTTTTTATACCAGTAACACACTGGCTTTAACAACGTTAATACTATCCACTCAAAGATTATTACACGAAGAGGGACGATGTGGAGTTTTTATGCTGGATGGTCTGAGTACTACTGATAGCTACCGAACCACCACTGCGTGGTAGAGTCGCTATTCATTGTACAAGTAAACTTGGGGTTTGTAATGCCGTAATAACCAAAGTTGTCCTCACTGCTTGCTGCCCCAACGGTGGGATCAAACTGGCAACCCTTAGAAGAACTGTCGATATGAAGAGTGTAACCAGCAGCAACCTGCCAGAACCTGGCAGTCTTGTGAATTCCAATATGACCACGAATGTTGACAAGCTCGGTCTTAAAGCAAACACCAGCACCAAGAAAGGCAAAGATGTCGGCCTCCGCAAACTTTCCACGGACGTAATCTTTGTAGTTATTGATACCGTACTTGTCATAACTGCACGTGGCTCGCCAGTGGGTGGACACATCCCTTAGTGACTTCATTCTGTCCTTTGTTAGCCGGTAGAGGAACCAGTTAGGCGAGTTTTCATTCACGGGGTTGTTGATTGACAAGGGTGTTATCCTGTCGGCAATGAGAACAAATTCAAGCAAAGTTACATCTAATATCCAAATTTTGGGGTATTACAGGGTATTACTTGGTGCAGTCACCAAATGACGTTATACAAAAGATTGAAAAGACAATGAATAATACAACACAACAGTATAATCGAGATAACCAACAATAGTTTCCTCAACACCAAGAAACAGCCAAATTTTGGTGTTAACAAAATAATCAAGTCAAATGGTAGTCTTCTACACAGCCGTTTTAGTTTCGTCGGGCGTTTGCGTCAACGACACTAAAACGGCTGTATATCTATCAAATTAGGGAATGCACAAATTTTACAAGGCGAAGAGATTTAAACAAACCGTGGTTTTGTCATCCGTGAGCTGATTTTTGTATCTTCTTACTACGTTTTTGAGGCAGTAGTTTGACTACTTCTTCTTCGCACAAGGATTTTAAAGGTTTTCCGTAATTTTCTCTAGCTCTGCACTGCCAAAATAGCTGACTCACCACTCCGATTCTTTGCATGAGATCTGGGCATCCCTTTTTTGTCGGTGAATTAACGATTGACATCGAGTGTAATGTTTTGAACATCAAACTTCTTCCAACTGACACTAGCCAAGGGATTAGAGCCATAAAAAACAGGGAAATATTTTAAAGAAATAATATTTTAACTTATCGCCGATCTTTAGCACATCTAAACAAGTACCTAAAATTCGCGAAATGGTTGTTTTTCAGGCTCCAAGACATGATAAGTGTCCAAGCCGCCCCAGGTTCTGTTTCCATGTCACAGTACGCAGTGAATCCATTCCCTGCGGCATCAAAAATCTTGTAGTAGCCGCACTTGTCTGCGCCATTCTTTAGATGGTCTACGCAAGATCTCGGTTTCAAGTTGCTGGCATTTTCTTGGCATGGTTTCTCCTTTAAATGGCATAAACAAATTGCCTGTAACTATACTTGGACTAAATCTACAGCATTATAATCTAATGGCGGTACGTGTTCTCTGAGAATATTTTAATTGCTTATCATTTACATCGACTTCTTTGTCAGTCCATCTGCCCTCTGTCAGGCACGATCGATCCCCCGGCAGATCGATCCCCCGGCAGGTTGCCAACGGAGAGGATGATGAGCTAAGATAGCGACTGATGGTGGGCCCCGCTACTACATGTACATCACCTTTGAAATCTATTCTTGGTTCACAGCTCATTCTCTCTTGTTTGCCTTATATGTTTAGCCGGATTTTTTGAAAACGTTATCGCCAAGTGGACCTTTTACGTCGGACAGTGTTTTTGGCCAAAACTAACTTCAAAGTAGCTATTATAAAAACTAAGAGTGCAACTATTGCTTTTGTTTTCGTTCTCTTCCTTTCCTTCTCCTCGCTCCTGCCTTTTCTCCTTTCCTTTTTTCTTCGTTACTGTGATTTTGGAGCTTCTCGGGCTTAAAACATGCCTTTTGACGCCTTTGACTGCAACAATTCGTTCAGTTGGTTTTCAAAAAATAAGCTAAATGTATAACTGATTATTTCTGTCTCACGATCCTTGCCCAGGTATCTCTCTTTTTCTTTGATTGATATTTCTTTATTTATTCCTTTTCGGTTCACTATGTCTTCCTGCCTCAGAAGGTAAGTCGTCTACTGTAGAAAATGAGGTGCGCGGCCCTCTATTTCCTTAAGTATCCATCTACTCGAACTGTCGCTGAATGAGTTTTCACTTCTGTTCGTTCTCTTTAAGTCTTTTTTTGGCTAAAATTAGTCAATAAATAATATATCTTACCTTATTGCTAGAAACCTGTCCAGGATCCATTTGCTGTTTCATCAATGTCAAACGTTTTAGCCCTTAATAATTACAATTATAATGGTAATAAAGACAATAAATAAAAAATAGAAGAATGAGCAATAACTAACAATTATTTACCGAGTTCAAGAAGTGTCTATTAGCTATCCATCTCCTACTATTCATCTTATTTTTATTTCATGCCATTTCATATCATTTCATTTCTTTTTACAGTCAGTCGAACCTCGATTATCTGCACTTTTCGATTATCAGATCTTGTTTCCTTGGTGCAGTCCGTTTTTTTTCGTGAATATTTTAAAAATAAGATGTGATCTTGTTATAGTATTGTATAACTTTTATTATTATTTTTTTATAGTTAAATAGCCCTTTCTTTTTTATGTCTTTTTGCCGCTTGAGAATTTAAGTTTTGAAGGAGACACAACACCCTTATCTCAGCTAACCATCTACCTCATGATTCATTAATTCTTACTTCACTTGTTGGCCGGTGCTCTGATATTATGTATCTTTTTAATTTTGATAATTAGCTAATACAAATTGTCCTACCTTGGGTTCAGAAACCTGTGCTTGATTCATTTTTTTTGTTTTGACATCGGCGTCAAAGTTTTAGCCTTAAAAAATATAAATAGATGGTACGAAATAAATATTGATAAAGATAAATAAAAATATTTTATTCAAATATATTAAAATAGATCGAATACACATGTACAGGTCACATAATTTATCAGGCTTAGGAGGCGCCAAACGTTAACCATAGTAGAACGTTCAATATGTCCATGCAAATCATTTTCACCCCCTGCATGAACATGTGATAATTAATTTAACCCCAAAACAAGGCTGAGGTGGTACCGAACATGGCAGGCACCATAAAGCAGCTATCAGAAGAAAAAAGGCAAGCGAAAAGAAAACTTCATGATGATATTACAGCCACTCAAGAGAATAATTCACTTGAAACTGTCCGTTTACGGATGGATCTGTTAAACGGAAAAAAATAACGGTGAATTTGTTCCTCTAACATTTTCAAGTAAGAAGAGACTTGAGCAGTCTCTCTTTTTCTGAAGTCAGATTTAATGAAGGATTGCACGCTCTCATGATAATGCGTCAAGTAATAGGATGGGAGATCAATTTGATTCTTGTAGTACCCCTGCAATGTTACCAGGCTACGTGTAAAACGAGCCTCGCCTAGGTTTAAGAACTAAGGTCTTCAAGAAAGATTAATGAAGAATAGTTTAAGCTGCCAATTTGCCACTAATTTTCAAATTTGATCGGTCGCCAAGTGGGTAATTCAAGCGCTTTGGCGCCCTTCATTATGAACATAATTTCTTATTCTGTTTGTACGATTACACTTGAGCTCATTTAACTCCAATTTTTGCCGGACTTAATGGCTAGTTTTAAAGCATCGCCCCTGACTGCGAAAATTCTAATAGTCGGGTTTTGTGATTTTCAATTGCAGTCTGAGCGTCTGTTATAGATCATGCATTGAGCTGCTATCCATTTTAGCAAGAGACGTTTCGTAACAAAGGCGCGCGAGGAGTTAAACATAAGCTGAGGGTCGTCTTTAAAACGTCTTTAATATATGAATATTCTTCTTGCCGATAAACCACTCTAACCTGATCGACCCTACAAAGAGCAAACATACATGTTAATTACTGAGAATGTCGGGTAATTTAAAGTATTTAATTCAGTAATTTGGAAATAAACAAAATGGCTAAAACCCTACCTACCAAAGTTGTTCGTGTTCGAAAATGGGTGCGGATGAGAGAAGTCTTCAAGTGACGTCTCCAGGAGGTTGTAAAACAGCCTTGATTTAAACTAGAAACCAGTTATTCTTGAATTCATTTGATGTGTAACTTCTTCAGACTTGTTTGTCAGTTCCTGGTGTTCCAGCTTACTGGTATGGCAGTTCTCATCAATTTCAATTCTCAAAAGGGTAATATTGAATCTGACAAATCCGGCAGTAAGGCAAAAAAAAATTTTTTTAAACTTAAGTGCGATCTCTGTTTTGTTTTCTCAGCTGATGAGTGGCCAAGTTAATTAAAATGATTTATTACAACAATGGTATCTTAAACAACATGAAAAATTTTAATTACTTGATTGAAAACAACCAATCAAAACACTGATGTGTGTTTTGCAAAATTACATGTACACACTGAAGCTTTGCTTTCTAAAAAGTACTGAAAGTCATTAGTGAGTTATGATCCCCATTGCGATCAGTTAGTTGCGTTCATCAGAACGCA